TAATGTATTCACGGGTTATTGTTGCATGTCTGGTTTCGGAAAATTGGTAACTGAGACATTAACGTTGAGGTTGGATAGATAATGGGAAAGATAAATTCGAGAATCTGAAAAAAGAATGTATTATTGTTTAATGTCGTTTGATGTTGGTTTATGAAATATAAAGGTAAATGTAGATGTGTATTGTTGATAATTTCATCGAATTGGACGTGGTTGGAAGTATACGGTAATTATCATTTGTCAGAGAAGAAATGTGAAGTTTCAGCGTTGGAGGAAGAAATTAAGAATTCAATATTTGGTTGGAAAATAGTATTAGTACTACGTGAAAAATGAAATTATTTCAGACATTCTAGGTGTACTCGAAAATATGTTTATCTACAAATCGTGGCATTTTTCAGATGGAGTGTACGAACACTTATTATAAAACAAAACATAAACTGAAAAGACAGTGCATTGCATTACAAGATTTCTTTAATGTTTAATTTCGATATGTGTAATTTTACTTCGTATATTTAATGCAACAACTCAAGTGAGAAATAAATGCAAGATTTCTTCGTACTAAAATTTATTAAACGTGCGAAAATTGTAACCCACGTACAAAAATATATATTTATTTCGAAATTGAAATAATTGTTACATCTCAAAAATTCGAACACAGCATTTTCGACATTTTTTGATTATTATTAAAACAATTTTTCAATATAAATTTGGATATTAATTTTTATAACAAAAATATGCTATTGTTGAATAGAGTATGTAATTAAATTTAGTTTAATTGAATGAAAAATCTTACGTTATTAATTACTTTTGTCTTCCGATTGCTTTTACATAAATAAAAACAATAAATTTTACACGGGCTTATCGAGCATCGAGAAAATGTAATTTCTATGGATCCATTAAATTAAATACCAAGTTTTTAGCTAGATATCCGAAAAATTATACATTTAAATAATTTTTAGACGTTACGTTTTACGAAAAATCAAACAACTTGATATGGAAAAATTGAGCGATTTATTTATGTATTATATGCCCGAAATTCATTGAGTGAAAACAATAAAACGAGAAAAAGAGTAGAGCAAAAGAAAGAGATTGGACGCCGCAACCTCCCAAGAATTACACTCCTAGCGCATAAAGTATTCGGTATCGTGGTAAAAACACACAGCGCAATTGGCGGTAGTAAGGCGGAGTCCGAATTATACCACAAAGAGAACCAATCAGATTTTACCTTATAAAGTAGGATACCAGGGCAGGATATTCGATTAACCAATCCTGTCCTCTAGGTATCAGCTCGAATGTATAAGTGTATACGACATCTTCAATGAAACAGGGCCGCATTCGTCATTGTATTCAATTCTTCGTGATTACACGTAAATATGAGATTGGAACAAGTTCAACGATTTGTGATAAAATTGTAAACGAATAAAGTTATATAATTTACTGATTGTTAAGAAATTTCGAATTTTATTATTAAAAAAGGTAGTAGAAGAAGAAATGTTTTATTTTATATTATTTAATATATTATTTTATCTAATGTATGTTAAATATTAAGGATGACATAAGGTTCTTTTATTTTATGAAATGTAAGAAGAGAGATATTTTATTCAATTATAAAAGAACGAAATTGTGATCTGATTATTACAATTTTCTTATAGATTTATTACAATATATAACTTAATGATGTATAAAAAAAGAATGATTTAAAATTTGTAAAAAATTATCTTATGCTTACCTTGCTTGGAACATTGGGGTCAATGAATTTAGTTTCATTACAACATCAGGATTAACACATAAAGAACTATGCAAAATTCTACTACATAATAAAAACTTCAAAACTACAATGTATAAAATAAGCAGCATGCAATGTGGTGGTTAGGCTAATTTAAGTAACTATATTGAAAAGAATGGAACTATATGTATAAATTATGTATACATAATGATCTATTATTACAGTGTATATTAACACTTTGTATTATTAAGTATATTTTCCATATTAAAAGCAAAATAAGATTTAATGAAAATGTTGAAGGATCTGTAAGGATCAGCAACTGTTTATACATTGTTTAATAATGTATCAACAGTATATGCTCTTTCCCCTTTTTAAATATAAAAAAATGTGAAGAGCAACCGTTTTCTTCATAGAAAGAAACCGAATAAAATATTTATTATGTATAAATTACATTGCAAAATTTATAAAAATATAAGTAGAAAATGTTATTACAAATATTAAAATAATACTTGTATGCATAATATAACACTGTATAAGTCTGATATAGATTGAAGTGTCAAAATTAAGTTTCAATATTGTTAAATTAAAGTGGATAGTAAGATTTTATAGAAATTTACGTGAATCTGATCTATTATAGACATTTAGTCTTTAGCAATGATTAAGTAAAACTCACTGTAGCGTACACGTTAATCCCATTTTCCTAGACATTCCATGTAATTCTACTGCACAAATGTTCACTTAATCGTTATCTTGGTGTCCATTTTGTTTGGTTAATTACTGAAGAGGCGTCAGTGCTGCCGTGGATTACGTTGACACAACATGACGACTCTTCCGCGATTGGGGCAGAATATATACTAAAAATTCAACTTTTCCAAACACTCAGGAAACTGGTCACATGAATTCGAACTTTATGAAAGTTATTGCGAAAGGGAGAAATAAAATTTAAAACACTGTGGCAACAATACACATTTCTATTTATGTTTCACATATTGACCGCCTCATACTTTCCGACAATAATCCATTTCCATAGACGAATAGACAAGAAACGAAACACTTTCTACTTCCAAATACACCGATGGTGTCGACACTTTACGGTGTCTTTAAAAAAATGTGCAAGTCAATAACGTATCACGATTTATTGTATTTCAAAGCATTTTTAATCATTTTGTGCCTCCTCGGATATATAATAATTGTAATTATCTGTATTTCTGTTTTACAAAAAAATTACAAACAATTTTTTACTTCTGTGAAAATTAATTCGTATTGAGATGTAAATATCTACATATTTTTTACATGTACGCAATTAAGGTTTCACATTATTTTTTTATATCTAAAAGTAACGTTACTTTCATTAAAATTGTAATATTTTATTTTTATTTAACAAATAAATATATGTAATTATTTTATATGTGCGCAACATTTTCGTTGTACAGTATATGATACATATATTTGATAATCTTTTACTTCAGAACGTTAATAATTTTTAATATAAATTTTAAAGCAATATTTTTCTATGGAATATAAAATATAGTACTATTTTCATAGAAATGAACCATTATGTGAATAGAATAATACGCGAGTTTCCATTCTACAGTTTCATATGAATTGTGTCGAAGTATAGTTATGATAGTGTTGTGTTTGATCGATTTCTTTTTAAACGTACGCATTTTATTGAAGAGGATATGTGTATATTGTAGTTGTAGACAGAACGTTGAACTAATAAATACAATATAGTGTATTAGTTGTATTAAATCTTTGAAGTTATCTTCATTCTACTTTGAGTCTAATTCATCAATTGCACGTTTAAAAAAATGTATAAATATTATTTCATAAACATACTATTTAATATTATTTACTTTCAACTAATAACAGTGCTTGAATTTGAATTATGAAAATATAATTTTGTTATTATTGTTACATCAATATATTATGTTTTGTTTTTCAATTACAGAAACAACATGTCTAGTACATCGCAAAAACATAAAAATTTTGTGGCAGAACCTATGGGTGATAAACCTGTTACTGACCTTGCAGGAGTTGGAGAAATTTTAGGAAGGCGATTAGAAGCTGCAGGTTTTGATAGGGTATAAAATATGTAAATACTATGAATACAATGATACGTAGCATATTATCATGGAACTAATCTAATGTTACTTTTATTGGAAATAAATAGGCATACACAGTACTTGGACAGTATTTGGTTCTGAAGAAAAACAGAGAGTTATTTATAGAATGGATGAAAGATATATGTTCTGCCAATGCAAAGCAATCGAGTGATTGTTACCAATGCATCTCTGATTGGTGTGATGAATTTTTGTAAAATAATTATAAGGGTTAATGTTAATATTGAATGAAAAAATTAAACAAATAATATAGCAAAATATCTTTTATAAAATTTTAATGCAAAATATAAGAACTGTTTCACTTGAGTAAATTTAATATTTTAGAAAACTTTATAACAGTACAAGTGAAAGCACATAGCAAACAAATTTTTTAATAGTTTCACACAATTGCAATAATGTATTTACATTAATATGTTAGTTGAATGTTCTTAATGGTAAAACTTAACAAAAATGTCATTTTATGAGTGAGATCGGTGTTGCTAGTTTACAGCAATGTATATTTATTCAATACTTCTATACTGTATGAGATAACACATGTTTACATTGCTTGAGTCTATGAATGTATAAACCGTTCAGCGTGTAAATGTTTTATATATAATATTCTTACATTTATTTGTTGTACAAAAGTGTAAGAAATAAATTAAAAATTTAATTTGAAAATATATTTTTTTAAATATATCACAAGTATGTATTTGGCAACTTTATAAGATACATGTTCAAACTAAAATGAAATAAACATGAAATAGTGTTAGACTCACTTTTTATAATATAACGTTATATCTTTATTACATTTTCTACTACATGTAACACTTTGTTAAATGAACTATTCTTCCAAAATAAAAGTATAATTATTTCGAAGTAAAACTATCCCAATCCTGCTATGTAGTCTTTATAACCACAAAATCGCACAATGTTTTTTAAAGCTTATAGCTTATGCATTCATTGTCCAATTTATTGTACTTAGGTACACACATTTTTGTGTTTTTATATTTTTCTGTTAACATACTATTGTTTATCAGTAATTTTAAAAGTCTTGACCTTTTGAATGAATTAAGTAAATTATAATTAAATGAATGTTATCGTTGTAATTTTTGTTTTAAACTATTCATCCGTTATATCTAATGGGCTTTGATCCATGGCGATGTGTTTACTATAAGATTAAATAAGGGATTACCCCATGCTGACGAATACACTACTTCAAAGGTGTATACATAAGCACAATTAAATGTAGTAGTACTAGCAGATTTTCGTTAATATTTCAGAAAGTAAAATTCAAATACAATAACATATATAAAAAAATTCTTTAAAATCATGTCCTGACAACATATTCCAAGCTCAAGGTCATTTGACCTACCTTTAAAATGAATATTTACCAAAGTAATATTTATTTTAATTATATTTTTAATTGGTTTTAAATAATGTACTTTGAATTGATGTAAACAACAATATATAAATTATTAATCTTTTATTTACATCAATATATTTAATCACACTAGTTTCCATTATATAATCTTGGAGGAACGATACAGGGGTCGTTCTAAGCACGCGAAGCTAATGCGCGTATACAAATTTCTAGTTAGGTTCTCATATTTGTTATTTTTCAATTATTATGAGTATTTTATTGAAATATGTAAAATATTGGCAATTTCCTAAAAATAAAATACTTAATCAAGGGAAGAAAGCAACAAATTTTTTAGTTCCATTTGAAAATAATGTATTGTTTATAAAGAAGAGGTTAGTTTTTTGAATATATTATTGAATGTATATAATTTTATTTAGGATTTAAAATAAATAATGTATTGTCAGAAATATGTCAGCAAAATACACGAATCCACAAGACAATTTCAACAGTTTGAGAAGGATCATGTATCAGCAGAGGTGGTTTGAAAGAGATAAAATTGAAACTACATTATACTTAATTGTGACTAAAGGTATATAAGTAAGATTCATATATTTAGAATATTTTTTATGTTCTTTATATACTTTGTTTAATTCTAATTAGATAATTTGTATTTAAGAATAACTTGTACCATGGAGTAACTTTAAAATTCTTTATAACTTATGTTAATATTTATATGATTTTGGAAACGTTATATCAGTTTTATAATGTAATTTTACAATCACTCATAAATACTTGAAAATATAAAGTAGTATATTAACAATATTGTTCTTTATTATGCAATAATAATTTATTATTTTATTCTAAATAATTTTTTTTATTTTAGATGATTTAAACTCTAATGATGCTTTCTTATTACTTCAGTGTTGTAATAAAATACTAGATTGTTTACCAGCAGAGAGACTTGAATTTGGGCAATACGTATGGGATTATTTATCAACATGCAGTATGTTTTTAAGAATGTATATATCTTAATCTTATTCTTAATACTGAATACTACATATATATGTATAAGCAATTATTTTTTATTTAATTTTTTAGTTATTTATTTATACATTGAGTATTGAGTAATCTCTTCCTTTCTCTACATATATATATATGTACATAAAAATATTTTATAGATGTTTCATGGACGGTACATCATTATAATGAACTCTTACAACTTTATCTGAACAATGATAAGGATTTTTCACCTGAGGATTTCATAGCAAAGATGCTTAATGAAAATATTAGGCCAAATAATTATACGTATGAAAGTTGTATTCAGTATTATTGCGAAAAAGGGAACGTTGCTGATGCGAAACAACTTATAAGTAGGCAACGTTTATATATAAATACAGAGATATTTAAACTTTTAATGTGGGGACATTATCAAAACGGGTAAATATATATTCTTAATCAAAATATTTTCTGTAAGTTATAGTGCTGTATGTATGTTGCTTATTTGTATTGTACATTGTGTATTAGTATATCAAATTTGTAACTACAAAATTTTTAATGCATACATCTTTCAGTGATCTACAAACTGCATTAAATATGTTTAAAAGAAAGAAAGGAATACGTGAAAATAATGAAATATATACTGTTCTTATGTCTATTTATGCTGCACAAAATGATATTGATAGAATTATTGAAACAATTCAAATTTGTAATTCAAAATGTGTAAATCTTTCCAATGAAAATATTTTGAATGTGATTTATGTGTTAGCAATAAACAATTATATAAAAGATATTGATAAGGTAAGTGTTTTTAAAAAGTTTATGACAAAATATTATTTGTATGAAGGTATATAATTATGTAATCTTTTGTTCTAGATCATATTTTATCTAAACAAATATAAAGAACAATTGTCTTTTAATGGAATTCAAATTTTAATAAAATTAATATATCTGAATCATATAAGCATAATTACACCTATACTTTCATGTATTAAAGATACATTGATTTCAGAGATACTTATAAAACATATGATTCTTAGTAATATGGTAAGAATAAGTATTGTATTTCTTCATGCATTGAGTACTATATTCTTATATAAGTACTTATATGAAATAATAAATTTCTTGTTTTAGAATATATGTAACATTGAACGTATGTGTAATTTCCTAGAAACTGAGAAACTGTGTTCAAAGCCTCTGTTACGGGCATTGTTTCATTCATATTCTAAAAATGATGAGAATTTGTGCTTTTCTTTACTTGAAATGTGTAAACAACATTATAGTGTAAAACCACATTATTTTTGGCCACTTTTAATTAAAAAAGCAGAGTTGTATGACTTTCAAGGTATGTACATCAGACAAAATTTGTATCTAAAATTTATATGTATTATATACATAATTTCATGAGGGGAAAATATATTTTTTTTGCTTATAGGCATATTAAATATTATTAAGGTTATGATAAACCATTTTGAAGTATCACCTTGTTTTGATACAATTTATGAGTATGTTTTACCATTTACATTTGAATGTCTACTTACTACAAAAAACAGGTTAATAACTTTAGGAGTAGATGAAACAATACTTAATAATGCTCTGTTATTAAACTTCTTGGAGGACGGCAAATTAAGAATGGCTTTGGTTCACAGTAAGTTAAAACGTAGTAGTTGATGTGTATGCATTATAAATGTGAAATAGAAATGATTACCTAAGCTTACCTAGTTTATTTGTTATTGCAGTGTATAGATATCCTGATAAATATATGTACACAATAATACAACGTAAACTTAGGAAATGTTTAATAGTTACAAATCAAATAGAAGACTTTATTTACATTAGTACTAACTTAATGGATACAGATCCATATACACAAAAATTTATATCTGTACCTATGGATAAACAATTACTGGACTTCCTGTATGAATATCCACTTAGTGCATTATTCGTAAAGAAGGTTTGAGAAATATTCATTATTTTTTAGAAATTCTTTGTAGTATATTAATTAAATATAAATTATTAAATATTACATAAAAAAATAATTAATGTTTGTTTCAGATAATAGAGAAGTTAAGAAATCGAAGAGACTATAAAATAACTAAATTAGAAAATTACGATTTTATAAATTCTTGTATGGATAAAAATATTCTTATAAAATATAAAATACATTATTTGTAACGATTACTTTTATTGTAAATAATTTTTATTTCAAATACAAATTACAAGAAGGCTGTAGGTCGGTCAATCTGAATTGCAACAAGGAATATATAAAAAAAATAATACATTGAAATTAATATAGTGCTATATTTACTATAAATTTTATAAAAATATAAATCTAATCATATGTAATAATTACTCGGAAAATGTTCAAGAAATCGCTCGGAGAGTTTTGTTTATGAACAAGACTGATTTAGTTATTTCTGTTTTACACGTTTTGTAAATGTACGTGAAATAAGAAATACATTAAAATTCATAAGACTGTATTTGTTACCTTAAACGAGTATGATAAATTTGAAGTTAATGGTGTTCAATAAAATTAAAACAATAATGATCATCTGTGTTAATAAAGTCATTTTAGGCAGTTTCATTATTTATTATATTTCTTTTTCGTTTGCTGCTTACATTACGTTGTACTTTTTTTTTAATTAAAGGTATGAAGAACAATATTAATCCACTAATAGTAATCATGGCACCAGCGGTAAAGAATCCAGGATTATAAGTTTCAAGTGCATCGTATAGACATCCTAAAAGATACGAATAATTGAAGAATTAAATGCTACAATATTAAAATGAGTATAAAACTGTGGAACTTCATTAATATAAAATTGAATAAAATTCTATTTCTCTCATGAAAAGTTGTAATAAATTCAAAATAAAATGAAGCAATACTTATTTCTACTAAATTTTAAATTTTATAATTTTCTGAAATTTTTCAAACATTAATGAAATATTTAAAATTCCGCAGTATTAATATAATTATACCTGCAATAGGCGGTCCTAAAAGTGATGCAAAACCTTGAAACAACAAAAGTAAACCAAAAGTGTTTGTAAGACGGTGCAAACCCAGTAAATCTACTAAAAGTACAGATGTAAGGCCTACATAAGCGCCGGATGTAAATCCAAATATAAAGGAATAAATTGCGAACGTTGCGAATGACGTACATTCTGTACTAAGAATCGTTGCTAAAAAATTATAAAAGCACTATTTTGATATTTATAAATTTGCAGTAATGTACAAAGAACATGAAATTTCAATACAGGTAATTTCACAATAAACCAATTTTATTACCGAAACTCTTAGGTTTATAGAATTTATATTTTTCAAAGAACAAGAAAAAAGAAAAATGAAAGAAGAAAATTTGCATTCAGAAAAATAGATATGAAATACTTTGTGTACTTTACCTGTATTCAAAATTGTATAAAAGTCTGTACATGCCAGATAGGCAGTGTTCCTTTATAATAATGAAAATATTAGAAACAAACTTACAAAGACCACATATGGTAAGACATAAGTTGTACGTTAATAATCGGTTAACCCATGGTTTATCGGATATATATCCTAATACTATACGACCCACCGTATTAGCGATTCCAATTATCGCAAGAAGATAACTTGCATCTTTTTTATTAATTCCGTGTTCCTCAGCTTGGGGCTGCACGAATATAATGATATTGATTATAACATGATTATTTATATTTTCTCAGCCAAATTGTAAGTCATATACATACCAATATATATACATATGGTATATTGAATCCAATACTGGTGCAGAAGTTGGAAAAGGTAAATAAAACAAATACTGGGTCTTTAAATATAGAAATATCCAGTATTTCTTGAAGATTACTTATCTTCTCTTCGCAATTACCTTTAATCTCTATATTATCTGTTGCATATTCCACAGAATTAGGCAAAGATCCACGAATATAAACCCTTTCTTCCGTATACATTTGTGTTAAATCTGGACTGTAAACAAACAATTCAAAAAATAACAACAGTTTAAAAAATAGGACGATTTACATTTGCAGAAATAATTCGTATAATATTTATTTTATAAAATACTCTTAATGGTTCTTTAATGGATACTGACATTTTGTTTTTGGTATCTCTCAAACTTTCTTCATGCAATCCATCTTTTAGTATTAAAGTAGGCTGACTAATGGTGGATACTACACCAACACGGTTGTTTTCCTTTTGAAATGTGACCACTTGTGATTTTGAATTTTCATTAACAATATTTATCTGGGAGGCATCCTGTAAGAATTTTATTCTAAATGGTACAATATACAAAACATGCAAAGTGTACTCATTAAATGTAATTTTTCAAAGTCTTCTGTACACAAAATATCCTAATTGCATTTGTTTCGATTATTTTTAATTAATTATATGCCTTGTAACATGCAACATTGAACATTATTATATTTCTAATAATTATACATACAAGAATCCTGTACCTCTGGAGAACTTCTCTTCTGTAATTTCTTAGCTTCAAGTGGTCTGAAGAGTGACCCGAGAATGACACAATTTAAAACTATCCCAGAACAGAGCATGATTGTTCCTCGCCATCCGTATATCGCTATTAAATACTCTAAACACGGGGCGAAAATCAAAGTACCTAAACCGGAGCCGCACACTGCGATTCCCGTAGCAAGTGAACGATACTTTTCAAAATAACACGATACGCTTACGATCGCCGGCAAATAGATCAGGCCAAAACCAAAACCTGCAAAATAATTTTATATAAATGACACATAAATAAAATGAGAAAATTGCTCTAGGCAAAGCATAATTTGATCGAGACTACCTGGCAGTGTATTTAAATCTAAATAGACTTTAAACATTAAGAAGATTTCATTCGTTACTAAAATATATTTTGCATTTAGTTAAATCGCAAATAAATTACTAAAATTCTATTCAAAATGTTTTTATTCGAAAAAGAATCATTCATTACTTATAAACTAATCTCACGTTATTTTTATTGTTTAAAGATGGTGTACGCTTAATTGTCGAAAATACTAGAAACTAGGTAAATTAATTTGATTAGAAATTGTTATTTCTCCAATAAAAGTATTCTTCACCTGTACCAATGCCGATTGTAAAATATAGTGTAATAATGTTACGGGCCCACATGCTTGCCAATAAGCAGGCGCTTGCTAATATGGATCCAGCTATAGTTACTGCTCGACATCCAAACTTGTTCACAAAAGAGCCCGATATCGGACCTACAACCAAATGTTATTATGCTGTTAAATATGCGAACAATTATTAGAAAAGTTGTTGAGGAAAGGTTTTACCTGAACACAACGTGACTCCTACCAATATCGACGCGATCCATGCTGTCGCACCTTTTCCTTCCTCAAAATAATACAGGAATTCCAAGTAAAAAACACCAAAGGAATACGTCATACCATCCGCTAAAGTGATAAATACAATCATTAATAATAGTGATACTATCATAACGTCTTTACTGCATGCATTAAGTCGGAAATAAATATGGAAATGCAAATTATGTATCAGTTAACACTTGAATAATCCATCATTTTACCGAGTACGATTATTCCAGTGTTAATAGATAACAATCAAGAATCAAGAATTAAATTTGAATTTAGTTGAACAATTTCGAACAATTTAAAGGCAATTTGAAAAAGTGAAATAAATGGGACTCGTGAATATGTACATGCCAATCTTAATCTCTTCCTTATCCCTAACTATTATTTCACACACGAATTGCTCAACACGAAGAAGCAATGAACATGGAAATCTTGTTTTATATCATCGTGTTGGTAACCGTTGTTTATTTATATTGTAATCATCCCTCTTAACGTCGCCCAAAGAAAGTATTTCTTCTTTGTGCCGCATACATCACAGAGATTCTAATTTCCTTATCACGCTTTTGTTAGTGTCGATAACCCTGTTACTTTAATTTTCTCAACTCCGATAGTGATACCTAATAAAGCTTCTGTTTGGTCCCCAAGAAAATTTACAGGCATCGCGATGAAATTACGAGTTAACGATCGCAGATCAATTATTCG